GTCCTCGTCATAGATGGTGTCCGTCAAGAAGGGGATCAGTTCAGTGCGCGTGCGCTCCACTCCTAAGGCCAACGCAATGGTCGACAACTTGCGGATCGAGTTGAGCCGCAACTGCAACACCGGTCAATAGGGGGTTAGTGTGGGCTCGCGGCTCCCGGTGGGGTCGCCACCGACGGGCCATTACCTGCACGTCATCGTTGCGCAGCTCATCGATGAGGACAGCGATCGGATACAGAGAGTCATCGCCGGAGACTTCACTCGAGACAACACCACTCGTCACCACTTGAGACGCCATTTCAATGCGTTAGATATGTTAGAGTAATGCTAACCAATGAATGCATCAATGAATGGATCACTCAATCGATCATCGATTCAACCGATTGTGGGCTCAGCTCTCACTCACTGTCACTGCAATGACTGCCACCAGAGGTCACGACCATTCAGTTGTCAACAAACCACTGGAAGTGAGAGATGGGAGTCGAGTGAGAGTTGTGGACAACTTGTGGTGATATTGCGGTGATATTGGCGACGATATGGTGTCCAAAGCGGGCAAAATGCTGCTCAAGAATACCATTCAGTCCACTGAACTCCAGAACAGAGTAAGCATTCAATGGTGTCATCATGTCTTGGATTGTGTCACTCGAGTGATGCTATCATTTGCAGATCAAAGAGGAGAGGGAAATGTGGACCAAAAGGAAGAATGAAAGACATGAAGACAATGAGCGAAGAGTCCAATCGAGAGATAGTGTGGCCCAGAGTTACCGTAAAAGACATTGCGATGAAGACATACATGAGAGCCATAAAAGACACAAAACAAAAGACACGAAACGAGACAACTATTGGCTCAAGAGATTGATGTCTGAAGAGGAGAAGCACTCAAACGAGAGGTGAGAAAGAGCTGTGCGAAGAGATTGTCATTAATGCGATGATTGTGTGAACTCACAGATGGACTCACAATGGCTTCAAAGAGCTATATTCCTCAGAGTTAGCCACAGATAAGAGCAGTTCCGACAGCGAAGAGGAAGAAGTGAGACATAAGAAGAGCAAAAAGAAGAGAAAACATAAAAAAGACAAAAAGCATAAGAAAACGAAGAAAAAGAAGAAGAAGGGAAAGGAATAGACATTAGTTTTAGACATATATTTGAATTGGTTGTGAATTAAATGATGAAAACCTCATAAATATAATACAATAAATGATTTTTTGAAAAGTTATGTCTCTATTACCGTATAATCCATTGTTTTGATTAATCAATTGTGTGGTACCAGTGATAGTATGGCGAGAATACAGCAATAATGGGTATTCAAATGAAATGATCACGATCATGTAATACGTGAATATACAATGCATATACGGAATTGAATGTTTTATTAAATTAAGTTTTATTGATGTATGGATTAATACAGATATGAAATGATTACAAGTGATATAACAATTAATATTAACTCATTATTACAGTATTACAATATTTTGTTGAATAACTAAATTTATACACATTTTGAATGAGTGAAAAGTGTTAACAAATAAATGGTGTA